TGACAATGATAGAGTAGTAACTACATGGAACAGCGGTATCTCTGTGTGCAGATGACAATGATAGAGTAGTAACTACATGGAACAGCGGTATCTCTGTGTGCAGATGACAATGATAGAGCGGTAACTACATGGAACAGTGGTATCTCTGTGTGCAGACGACAATGATAGAGTGGTAACTACATGGAACAGCGGTATCTGTGTGCAGACGACAATGATAGAGCGGTAACTACACGGAACAGCGTTATCTCTGTGTGCAGACGACAATGATAGAGCGGTAACTACACGGAACAGCGTTATCTCTGTGTGCAGATGACAATGATAGAGCGGTAACTACATGGAACAGCGGTATCTCTGTGTGCAGACGACAATGATAGAGCGGTAACTACACGGAACAGCGTTATCTCTGTGTGCAGACGACAATGATAGAGCGGTAACTACATGGAACAGTGGTATCTGTGTGCAGACGACAATGATAGAGCGGTAACTACATGGAACAGTGGTATCTCTGTGTGCAGACGACAATGATAGAGCAATAACTACCTAGAACAGCGGTATCTCTGTGTACAGACGACAATGATAGAGCGGTAACTACATGGAACAGCGGTATCTCTGTGTGCAGACGACAATGATAGAGCGGTAACTACATGGAACAGTGGTATCTCTGTGTGCAGATGACAATGATAGAGCGGTAACTACATGGAACAGTGGTATCTCTGTGTGCAGACGACAATGATAGAGCGGTAACTACATGGAACAGTGGTATCTCTGTGTGCAGATGACAATGATAGAGCGGTAACTACATGGAACAGCGGTATCTCTGTGTACAGATGACAATGATAGAGCAATAACTACATGTGGAATAGCAGTTTCTGCGTGCAGACGACAATTATTGGACTGGTGAAAGGTGATTGTATTCTAGCAGATATTAATCAATTTAATAATGTGTTTAACATGTTACCCATGGACAAACGGTGACAACTTGTCCGTGCTGCAACCACATTATGGTACTTCCAGAACAACTCACCTATTTTGATCGGGAAACCGGATGGCAGCTGTAGAGTTATGAAGTCGCGCAGTTTGGCAAAATGTGCATTGCTAGTCGCCATCAGGTCTATGATAGGAAGTACCTGTGTAACAAATTTACAGATGAGTACACCGACTAGCAAAAACTTTAGCTGTCCACATTTCTTACATGAATGCTATTTCTGTAATTTTGTGACCATAACTGTCAGAATTCCTATTTGTGTGCCTGCCATGCGACTGCCTGCCTGCCATACGGCTGCCTGCCTGCCTCTTTTCTGTCTGTCCATCTGTCTGTCTGCCTCCCTGCCTACCTGCCTGTCAGCCTGCCTGTCCATCTGTCTGTCTGCCTACCTGCCTGTCTGTCTGCCTGCCTGCCCGCCTGCCTGTCTGTCTCTCTGTCTGTCTGCCTGCCTGCCTGCCTGCCTACCTGGCTCTCTGTCTGTCTGTCTGTCTGCCTGCCTGCCTGCCTGCCTGTATGTCTCTCTGTCTGTCTGTCTGTCTGCCTGCCTGCCTGCCTGCCTGTCTGTATGTCTATCGGTTTGTCTGCTTTACTGCCCCTCTACCTGTCTGCCCACCTGCCCACCTGCCCACCTGCCCACCTGCCTGTCCGTACAGCCGTTATTTACCTTTCTCTTTCTCACTGTGTATATATTATTTGTAGATAATAACCATGTTGTGTTTCTCACAAAGAGTCAATAAATAAATCGTTGATTGTACAACAATAGTATCGTTTATTGTACAGCACTAGTATCGTTTATTGTACAGCGATGGTATGGTACGACGATAGGAGTTGCATAATCGCACACTATCTGTGATTAGTCTCTATAAGTTTAGAAAACGGTTCTTCGAAAGAATCCTCGTTATAATCGCACACTATCTGTGATTAGTCTCTATAAGTTTAGAAAACGGTTCTTCGAAAGAATCCTCGTTGTTATTACTGGAGGCATCCATCTTCGCACACCCCGTGGCGCCATCTCTAGTCAGTTCTGCCATGTTCGCGAATGTTCACTTTCGTGCATCGCCACAACAAACCAGATAAACTTTTATTCCAACTCTCAATGGTGCATAAAAATTACCTGCTCCTGAAGATCCAATGGATATTTTTCACAGAGCCATAGGCTGGCTTTAAAGCGCTGTGATTTTGTCGTTTGCTCCTTTGGTCTGCCAATGTCTCGCGACCCAAGGTCCAGTTTGTCATTGAAATACTCTTCAGGGCTGATGTGGGATGGGTTGTAACAATCAGTCGTTGTCGTCGTTTCCTAGAAGCACAAAATACAAACGTTAAATGATGTCATTTGATGCTCGGTAAACTGTATTTATTAGAATATTTAGCCTTATTTTATATTGTCTATTAAAAATAGAACTGTTACGGATATTCATTAGTAATCAATGGGATTAGACTGAACCAGCACTGCAACGAAATTTAAAGTGAGCAAATTGATGATGATAGTTTCTGTTAATCATGTCTATTATAATAAAACAATTACCCCATTTACTGTTTTACCAGCTGCAGCTTCCTCCAGTTCTGCCAAGCCTACAAGACAAAGCAAGTTCCATATGTGTAAGCATTCAGACTAGTCAGGCTTGCAGCAGCTCACAGCTACAGCAAGACAGAGGCAGTGATAACTTTCCGCTGTCAACACTTCAGGGTCAACGGAAGTTGTAGGAACTATGAACCAATTTCGCATTTCTTATCCCAGGAAAACTGACAGTGGTCACTCCAGTGGTCTCATGCATGAAATTTAAATGCCAAAATAATCGCAATAGAGTGAGCTGCAACCTATAACAGATATATAGGTGGAGTGAAAGCTAAATTGATTTTCTTATTTACTATTGATTGCTTCGAAAACTATTCCAAGATTGAGGATTAGGTATACTGATTAGACTGTACCTAAGAATGAATGGATGGGCGTTTTCAGAGTCCGTGAGCTGGCTTGCTTTTTGTCCGTCTCAGACATGTGTTCGACGCGTGACTTTGTCAGCAGCTCGACATTATTGGCTGTAAATACCTGCCGAACAGATTACGAGCAGATGAAACACTCATCCTTAACTCACGGACACACAGCTCGCTTTCTGCCGATGTAGAGTTCTCTAGATGACACTGACAATCATATTATTCATTACAAAGCTATGCCTTCCAAACTTGCTAAAACATATTGATAATTCTGCATGCATGCTGTATGTGTCTCAAGCTGATCTGGGTTGTAAAAATAGCTACTCCTCTATGATCATAACTTACTGCATTATCACTCAAACACAGAAATAGGTAACGTATAATAGCTTAGCATAGAGTCTCTTGATGTTTAGTTAGTTTCTAAAACGTTATAGGGTCTTTAACACTCTACTTACCTTGGCTGGATAGCTATTGATATTTTCCTCTTTGTCACTTCTCCAACCCCAGATACCTGCCTTTGCCCTGGAATAATAGAAGTGCAATTTCTTATTAAATACACGTAAATAGACGAAGGAATGACGGAAGAATGATGGATGGATAGATAGTTGAACAAACAGGTTGGACAGATGGCCACTCTAAACCAGCTACCTAAATACACATGAACTCTAGCACTAGACCACTAGCGCAGACAACTACGTCCATCAGGTGGCTGCACGACGCGCGGCGCACCTCTCAAATGCGATCTTCTCCGTGTCTAGGAAGGTAGTCATGACGGGCGACGTGAGACGCGCGGCGATCATGCGCTCGGACGGCCTCATCATGCCGACGTCCGGCGGCGGCGTGAGAATCTCCATCTGCTCGGAGTAGACCTGCTCAAGGTCATGGTCCACCTCCATGACGGTCGCGCGGTCCGCTACGAGCCGCAGCAGCGACAAGAGAACATTCCCATTGCTGTTCACCCGGTTATATTTGATCGAGCCATTAGCCATAGATAGTTAGATAGTTAGATAGATAGTTAGATAGTTAGATAGATAGTTAGATAGTTAGATAGTTAGGTAGATTTGTTAGCTAGATAGATGCCATTCCAGCATCGGAATACCAAACAGATACTCGTGCACAGAAGTACTCTTGGTTTCGTTATAGTTTACCTCGCATTGACTTTTGATAAGTTATTTGTCAGTCAAAAATTCACGAACAATTTTCGTTGGATTGTAAGTAAAAGTTGTGTAAGATATTATCAAAAAGCCCAGAAGAACAGCATGAGACAGATCACAAACCTTGCCTAAAATTCTAAACATTAGGTGAAAAAATACTGCCCACAAACATTCCCCACGACCCGCACACCTCTTGTCCCACCAACTATACATATCCTGTCTCAGTACCCACACATAATTTGCGGCACCTATTTCATCACCCATGTCTCTCCTCTCTGTTCACCCTCATATCTCCTGTTGTCTCACCACTCACACTAGGGAGGTTTCGCACAGCGACTCGTACGCGAACGCGAACTGATACGTCATCAGTTTGTGTGTACTAGTGATGTCATTCGCGTACCAGGAAGTGATTCGCGTTCGTTCAAGACGCGTTAGCCATCGCATACGCGTAAGTATCAAAACGTGTATTTATTTCTCCTATTATTCATTGAAATTGGATAAATACGTATCGAATTTCCACGCTATATAATCTTTGCTATTGTAGGACCGTGAGATCCCCGAAAACCATTATTTCACACACCGCCTATATAATCAACCAAAGGAACAGGAGATAGCTCTATCGGCCACTAACCACATGCTTAGGGGCCCTAAATAAATTAGCATTGACAGTAGACGGTCACTGACCGAGGTCGCCTCCGAGTTTGCCGACCAGTTGTCATTAAGGGAGGACCTTAATGACAGGTGATCGCAACATGGCCGGGGTACAACGACCTTCGACGATAACCGCCGCAACGTGGCGAGGTCGAGAGAGACGGATAAAAGGATAGGGTTTTCGGGTAGAGGGGAGAGACGCCGACGTATAGCTGACGGGTATGTGTGCATCGTTTTGATCTGTGTTTACAATAAAGCTATAAGTGTTGTTTACCGTTTACATCACTCGTTACTTCGACTATCTACGGTCTACAGTCTACGAACGTATATTCCACGCTACACTATATAGGACACTGCATTAACTCAATTTTTCATGTTTTCTTTTCTCATTAAGGCCAAAAATCTAGTCATCAAAATCGGTACCGAATTCTTCACAAAAATCACACCTAGTCCTGATCAAAACTGATCATGAGAGATTCTAACTAAGAACTGGGCGTATGAAAAAGTGTGAATCAGAAATGGGTATTATATATGAGAAACTGGAATTCTGCAGATAATCAGTTAATCACTCCGAAAATATTTCAGAAGCTGTGCTCGTGGTATGTTGCAAGCTAGCACGACCAGGCTGTGTGACTAACGTGTACACACTACAGGGCTGCCAACTCTCACGCATTGACCGTGAGACTCACGCATTTTGACCAAATCTCACGCTGATCTTACAATATCTCACGCACAGCCAAAAAATGCTGAGATATCTCACGCATGAATAAGCTCTTCATGAATAAAACGCTGAAATATCTCACGCACAGCCAAAAACATCTTACAATATCTGAAAACAGTCACTTTAGTATGCACCAAATTGCACAAATTGAAGTTATAAAATGCAAAAGCTCCCTATCGTGGGAGGGGGAAACCCCCTTCCCCCCCTCAGTCGCTTCGCTCCCTCGCATCTCACTCTCACCTATCACCCAATGTTGGCAGCCCTGCACACTAGGGTATTCTAACCCTAGCAACACCGTTTCTTGGAACTAGTTGCAAGCTTGATCAGACTAGTATTAGGCCTAGATGAGTTTGCTTCAAGAACGACCCAGCTTTTTTGGTTTAAACTCGAATTGAAATATTCTATCAAAACTATTAGATTATTGTAAGTTTTGTTACTTCATATTTATAGTCTATAACAGTACTTTGGCAGATAAGGTCTATGTCCCCTTGACCTCTGTTTGACCTCGCTCGTTTAGCTATTTCTGACTAATATATATATATATATAATATATAATATATAT